ATTGGCTCCTTCTCTTGAAACTGGCCAGGCCCCCCCGGGGGCCTCCTGAAGATGTGCTTCCAGGAGGCTTGAGTGGGGAGGGAGGCCGGCGCTCACCACGAGAAGACCCTGCGCGTTCCACCAGGCTCTGTCTGGGGCAGGGCCCCGCCCTCAGATCCGTCTGCAAAACGGCTGACTCCCCCTTGTGCGCGTGAGACAGAAGAGCTCTTCCTGGTGACAGCGTCCTAAGGCCCTTCACTAGTGGGTGTTATTAGTTACAGCCAGCCCCACGCCCTCTCCCGGGTCGGGACCAGGGGTCTCTAGGGTTCAATGCTGATGCCAGAGTGTCAGCAGCCCCAGCCCAGCCCTGTCCCCTAGTTACGGGTAAATGTTTATGTCCCCGCAAAAGTCACGCTTCCACCCCCCACCCCAACACGATGGACTAGGAAGCAAGGCCCTGGAGGTAACGGGCCATGAGCGCGGAGCCCCAGTGAGCAGGTCAGGAGGGAACTTCCGTCCCCGGCGTGAAGGTGCAGCGGAAGCCGACGGTCTGCGCTCGGGAGAGGGTCCTCGCCAGAACCCAGACGGCCAGGCTCGGGTGCGGTTGGAGGTGGATCTCTGCTGTTTGTCAGCCCCCCTGTCTGTGACACGTTGTCACAGCAGTGCAGCCAGAGTCCCAGGGCCCTTGGGCACCCCCAGCGGGGGGCACGCTCCAAGGCCAGCCGCAGAGCAGGTGCTCTGCCAACGCGGCTGGCCTGTCTCTCAGGGCTTCTCTTCTGCTCCAGCAGCGCCCTCAGAATCACCTTGAGTGCGTGCATGGACTACAGGCTGGGCGGCCCGAGTGTCCGCCCCGGCCCTGCTACCGCTTGTCTGTGTCCTTGTGCCTCAGGCTATGAAATTAGGGTGATGAGGCTACCAGGATGTCCCTCCCACAGAGCTGGGACGTGAAGGGAGGTTGTGAGGAGAAGCGGCTCACACACGGAGACGGCCACGGAGCGCTGGCCATCGCCGGTCTCTGGGACGGCCGTCCCTCGGAGGAGGGCCAAAGGCATTGGATGAGGGGGCCTTCTCAGAAGCCCTGTGCTGGCTGCTCTCCCCAGGAAGCCCCCCCCAGTCCCTCAGAAGCCTCGGGCACTGGGCGGCATGGTTTGGCCATGTTCTCCTGGCGAAGCTCAGGCCTGTCCTCCTCCCACCTCACCAATTCCCAGGGGCCTGGGCGCGCTCGGGGAGACCAGCCCTGGCAGAGCCCCCGAGAACAGGCCCGCAGCATCGCCAGCGGCTCAGGAGCAGCCCCATGCCCGCCGACCCCCGGCAGGCGGCCGGGGCTGGGGGCTGCGCCGGTGCCAGCTGGGTCTGTCTGGAGTCTGACATGGCTCTTGGTGAACTTCGCAGCTCGGCACGGGGTTGGGGCTTCGGGGCGCCCCCAGCAGTCACGCGCTTCTCCCGGGGCTGGGGTGGGGGGCCAGGCCGGGCTGCTTCCTGTTTCCTCCCTTTGCTGCTGCCGCTGCGCTTCCCTGGTTCTGCTCGGGCCCCCCGGCCGGCCTGGGTCTTTCTGGGCTGTTCTCCTGCTTCTCCGTGGACCCTCCTCACCCCCACCCAGTTCCTGCCTTCCCTGGGCTCGGCTGGCTGCTTGCGGTTTCTCTTGGCCATGGCCCCAGCCTGGCGTGACACATCTGGTGCGGCCACCTCTCCTTCCCACGCGGCCAGGGAGGGGCGCCATGGGGAGCTGAGTCTCTGGGCCCCTGCCCCACTGGCCACTCCGCTCTCCCCAAGCCCGCTTCCCAGGCCGGACATCTGATTCTGGCCGGGAAGAGTGGGACCTCCACCAACATTCCAGGAATGTCCACGGGACCTTGGAACAGCCGAGTCCCTGGGGCCTGGCCTGCTGTGGACACACCTCTCCCAGGAGCAGAGAGGCACAGGCAGGGATGTGTCCCCAGACTCATTCCCAATCCTTTGACTCCCAACAGGCATTCGTTTTGCCAGCACTTGTGGGGAAGGAGGGCAGGCACCTGACGATGGCCACCAAAGAGGCTTCCTTTCAGCCGTGACAGAAGGACACAGCCTTCGAAGTCCAGCATCCCCGGGTGGCCCTGCCCTCCCCAGAGCTTGTCTGAGCCTCTGCTCCCTCGTCTGACAGCAGAGAGGGGCTTTGCGAGGATGAAGTCAGGTCAGGAGTATAAAACACCACACACAGTGCTGGCCCGGCATGGGGGCTCGACACAACCACTGCCGCACCCTCGCCCCTCAGCCCGGCAGGCTGGGCCTGGTGCTCCAGACTCTGCCTGAGTCAGGGGGACGGGGCCTCACTTCGAGGCCCCCAGCTCCAAAATCTCAGGAGGTAACAGCCACCGAACAGAACCTTTAAGTGAGTTCTACAACACCCCACTCCCAACACACCCACGCACACGCACACGTCCACACGAGCACAACACTCACTCACGCGCTGGTGTCCTTCGGTAGAACGACCCGCGTTCCAGCTTGTCCTGGATGCCTGGTCGCCTCCCTGCAGGCACCTCAACTCAACAAGTCCAAAGGGACCTGAGCGTCCCCTTGCCCTGCGCCCCCCGAGCTCGTCCCCTGGGGTTCACGGCTCACTACTTGCTCGGCACGTCCTTACTAAGCTCCGCCACACGCCAGGCTCCCAGCCCCGGCCTCCCGTCCAGCCCGGTGTCCGAGCCCGGAGCCCGTGGTCAGTCTGGCCCCTTCTCTCCCTCACACCCACCTCCAGTCAACCCGCCAGCAGTAAGAGTAACCGCGGCAGAAGTAGCACAGAGGTGCCGGCCCGTATTTCCTTCCATCCTGTAGAGAGACATGGGCGCTCTCCCCACCTCCGTTTTACTGGAAAAGGAGCAGACGCACCGAGGTCAGTAACCGCCCAGGCCTTACAGGGAGCGAAGGAGCTGAGACGCAACCCCCAGGGCTGGGTTCTGATGGCCCGGCTCCTTGATGTCCCCAGAGTCGGTCAACTGCTCCTCAAGCCGCTGCCCCACCTTTCCGTCGACTCCATCATGATCTATCGGCATAGGAGCCAGTCGCTGGCTCCTGCCTCCAGGCTGTCCTCCTTGACTGCTACCAGCATGATGTTCGATGATGCGAACTCCATCGCATCACTCTCCTGCTGAAAGTCCTTCCTCGGCTCCCCAGGGTCTTAAGCACAAAGTCCAAATCCTCATCCCTCCCTGATTCCAGGTCTCACTCCCTCCTGCCCCTGCCCCCAGCACCCCACAACAGGCAGCCAGACTCGCCCCCTTGCACACTCTCCGCAATTCACTCACTTCCTCCTTGTCTCTGAGTCTTTGCATATGCTGTTCCCTCTGCCTGGAACGCCCTTCCCTGCCTCTTCACCTGATCCTTCAAGATGCAAAAACTCAGGTTTTGCCTTTCCAGCCAAGCCTCCAAGCCTCAAAAACATGTGTAAAGAGAATGAGTGGGTGACCAGTCAAGTGAGCAAAATCACAGGCGCATCAGCACACATCACAGCCGTGCCAGGTCCTCACACTGACCGCGCTTTGCTCCTCATGGAGCCCTGTGAGCTCGGCAGGGGAGGTCAGCACCCCCAGGGGCACAGAGAGGGTCAGAGACTCCACAGTGAGTGCCAGAGCCCAGCAGGGGGCCAAGCCTGCTGGTCAGGTCTGCGTCACACCTAGGGAGTGCTGCGCCCCTGCCCTGCCACACCCCACCCCACCCCGGGCAGCAGGAGCGACAGCTGGATCAGCTAGGTCTCCCAGCCGCGGGGCTGCCACCCCTCAGGAGCGCAGGAACTGCCTGTGTGGCCCACGTGTCTAGAAGACGAGACCTTCAGAGTTCCTGAGCACAAAAAAGATGCAAGTCGCAGTATAAAACATTCACCTCAGAGGAAGTGTGAAAAAGTCTGGGGAAAGTCTTTGCCCCTGTGAAGACTTCTTGGATACTTTGCACGAAACGTCAAACTGCCCCTGCGTCGCTGGTGCCCGGAGCAATGGTTTAGTCTTTCCTGGGAGGGGAGTAGGCCCAGCCTTCCTGGCCTTTGATCCTCTGACCTTGGCCTCGAGGGGCACACCAGCGGCCTGACCCTGTTCATTGGTGACTCTGGACAGAGGGAGAGGAGGTGACCCCCAGAGGTCCAGCCCTTGTAGGGGTGGAGGGTGGAAATGGAGGAGGATGGGGGAGGTAGGGGCAGCTCTACCACTTCGCCATCTGGGGAGGGTGGAGGGTCAGGGCAGGAAGGAGGGAGACAGGCCTGGGTTGGGTGGCAGGGCTGGGCCCCTACGCCAGCCCTCTGTGTATGGTGGGTCGTGAGGACGAGAGGATGGGGCAGGGACCACAGGCCAGGACACCAGAGGCCTCTGTCCTGAGACACCGCATGCTAAGTGGGCCTCTGTCACCCCCATGGCTGAAGGTTAGGCCCAGTCCTGGTTCCCAGCTTTGACTTCTCTCCCGTCAGACGCAGATGTACCTAGAAATTCAGCTGCCTCACAGGGCATGCGTCAGGCACCAACTGTGTTCCAGGCCCCGTGGTGCGCACCCATCACGTGCCGGGAGACCACAGCACCTGTTTCTGCGTCCATCCTGGGGCCACAACACCCCTAATGGACAGGAGAGGAACTGCAGGGCTCCCTGGAGGGAGGGATGGACGGGTCATGGGCGGCCAGTGAGTCCAGGACTCTGGGGAAATGAGTGTCTGAGCGGCACCCCACCAAGCTGAGGGTCAGAGCGGGTGAGGTGGGGAGACAGACGGCTCCTGACGCTTCTCTGGGGCGGCAGCCTCCAGCCAACCTCCACCCAGGCTCCTTGGCAGAAGGCCAGACACCCCGGGACGACGGCACCAGAGGCCCCGTCCCCACCCTCCTCCGGCGGGGCTGGGTGCCTCCCGACCCCAAAACACCCACACAAGTGTGCACACGACTTCCTGCCACAAGCCCCCAGAAAAACCAAAGCCTGGAGCGCGCCACAGGGACACGGAGTGAAGGGGCCCGAGGGCCGGGGCCGCGACTCAGGCCCAGGAAGCAGGTGTCCAGGCCCACCCGCCATGGACTCACAGAGACTGCAGGCTCGGCAGCTCCCACAGTGCCTCCGCAGGGACGCCTCCCAGCCGGTTGTTCTGCAGCATCCTGGAAGGAAAGGAGACGGCGTGAAGGACCGCACGGCCTCGAACGGCCCCACGCCAGGCCTATTTGGAGCCCAGAGAGCCCTGGCCCCTTCCCAGCCCCGCAGGCGTCCAGAGGCTGTGGAGGTGTTGGGGGCTGGGCCCGGGCTGGGAGGCTGCCTCGGAAGGGCTCGTGGGCCGAGGCAGGACTGGAGAGAAGCAGAGGGGCCCCTCGGGGAAGCAGCGAGGCCAGGAAACAGAGCACGGGATTCCCTCGCACTTCGGTGCGGGAGGACACGGGGAAAGGTGTCACTCCTGCCTGGCCTCCGCTTCTCTGTCTGCAGCTGAGAGGCGGAGGGTTCCCTGAGGAAGGGGAGGGTGAGGGGCCCAGGCAGACATGCAGCTGTGGGCTGCCTATCTGTAGAGCCAACGGAGATGTCCGGATCAGCGTGTCGGGACAGCCCGGGGGCCCCATCGCACACGGCCTGTGGACAGATCCCCCAGGAGGCTGCCCTCCCGGCCCCGCAGGGTGGTGGGTCAGGGAGCGGGCAGCAGGGGAGAAAGGGGGGTCTGGGCCCCCTTGGGTGGCACTGCCGACCCCAGGCACCAGAGCTGTCCTCAGAAAAGGCTGCGGAAGTCACTCCAAAGCACAGGGAGTCCCTGAAGACTCGGGCCCTGGGTGGGGGTCCTGCCCGCCTGGCTCTGAGGAGGGCCTGGGTGGTAGCGGCCTTTGCAGCATCCCCCTATCCACCGCCGGCCTCTAGAGCTGCCCAGAAATGAGGAGGAGGCAGGCCCATGGGGCGGGGCTGCCCACCCAGGGGTCAGGGAACAGCTGGGGGCAGGCAGAAAGCGGCCCCACCTGGCGGCCGGCACGCCCGCCATCCGGCCCTCCTGTCCAGGCACTGTCCCGAGGGAGCAGGTCTATCCTAGGGCAGGCTGCTCTGGAGCTGCGGGTGGGGCCTCCAGGGAGACCATGTGTGCCAGCCACCTCTTACCCCCTGCAGGGTGTTGCTCCTCCCTGGCCAGCTCCACGGCCCCAGGCGTGGGGTGGGATGAGGAGCTCTGGCCACAGGTGCCCCCTCACCCAACAGGCACCAGTCCTCAGAGGCTCCTGCATCTACTCACAGACCCGGGAGGAAAGAACCGTGGCCTCCCTGAGGGCAGCCCCGATGGTGGAGCTGGGCAGGGGCGGTGAACCCGAGCACGCAGCCTTCAGGGCTCTGCGGGACAGAGACCCCACCTAGAGTCTCAGGAAAAGGCCTGAGGCAGGGGCTTGACCGGAACCTGTGGGCCGAAGACGTGGAGAACCAGCAGAGGAAGGCGAGGCCCAAGAGTGACACCTCAGGTCAGGTGTGGGGCTGGGGGAGGGACGCAGGGGTCCTGCCACAGCCACTGGGGGAGAGTCAGGAGGAAGTACCCTCGTGTTGGTCCTCGGCCTCTGGGAGGGCAGGATGGAGGTCGGGTGTCCCACCCGGACAGCCCAGCCCCACAGGAAGGAAGATGCAGCTCAGACAAGGGTCCAGGGAGCTGCTGAAGTGACCCTGTCCCTTGGCACCGGAGGGGACATTGTGCCAATGGGGGGGCTCTGCTGTCTTTCTCGTACAGGTCTGAAAAGGAGTGACAAAGGGCACCGAGGCAGGAGAAGGAGACACCAGACACTGTGAAGCACTTCTTGCTCAGATGCAGGTGAAGCCCCTTGCTTGGAAGGCACTGAGTAAAAGGACACGCTCCCCAAGACCACCCACTCACCCCGAAGCAGAGGGGTCTGCAGGCAGAGTGGACACGAAGGCTTTGGGGGCCCAGGGTCAGTGGCGGGAGGGGATGGACAGCTGGCTGCCCCTGGCTCCAGCCACCCAGCTGCCCACTGTGCTGGGCCGCGAAGGGGCAAGGCTGCAGCTTCCAGGAGCTTTGACTTTTTGCCCAAAGCAGGCGAAGAAGAAAGGCTCACCCCTAAGCTGGAGACTCGGGAACGAGGGACGGGTCTCACGTCCTCTGAATTCCCGACAGACAGAGCCTGCTCTCTGATCTGGCTGCAGGTCGGGGCCTGGCTGGGCAGGGACCCACCTCCACACAGGCCGCCCGGGCCTTGTGTCTGGCTTAGGGCGCCTCCCCCATCGTCCTGCAGGCAGCGGTGTTGATGGGAGCAGGACGGACGGAGAGAAGAGGCAGGAAGAAGGAGAAGGAGGGCTGGTGAGAGGGAGGGCAGGTCTGAGGCAGAGAGGGAGGTGGGGGGCAGGAGACCAGGCTGTGACAGAGGCTGAGCAGAGGAAGGGCAGACGAGAGACCAGAGAGCCCTGGGATCAGGGGCTCCGAGGCAGGTCGAGAGAGAGGCTGGGGGCCAGCGGTGCCGAGTCCGACCACGTGGAGTAAGAAGGGGATGGGCTGGGGACTGCTGACTGGCCAGAGCCTGAAGCTCACAGGCCACAGGGACAGGGCCACTGCTAGCCCAGGGACTACCTGGAGCGAATTAGAAAAAGGTACTCCTTTCTAGACGGATGTAGCCCTAAGGCAGGCACAGGACTGGATTTCAGCCCCTTCCCACCCCTTAGCCGGATGCTCTTGTGCAGTGAACAACCTGCTCAACTGTATAAAGAAGACCTGCAGGTCAAGTCAGGGCTGGGGGGCAGGAGAGGCGGGGAGTGGCTCACCACTTTGGGAAGTCTCTAACGCTCTTCTATTGCTCCAGAATCAGCCCCCAGGGTACTCATTGTCTTCCCAAGCCAGTCCCTGTGGTGAGGTGACCTCCCAGGGAACACTCCCCCTGCCCGCAGACCCTCTGCACCTCCTCTCCCACCTCCTTCCACCCACACGCATTACAGCAACAGGCGTGGGGCCAGGGGACGACAGCCCCGGTGGGGACAAACGAGCCATGGACCGGGGTCAGGTAGGGGTGCCTTCCATCCCCATTCCCCCAGTGGGCCGTCTGGTCACTGGAAGAGGGACGTTAGGGGAGGTGATAAGAGGGCCTCTTCAATTCTCACTTTCCTTTTGCTTTGAGGAAAGGTGAGCAGGCCTGGGAGGGAGAGGAGAAAGTTTACAGGAGAATGAGACTCAGTGTGGAAGCCAGAGACCAAGCCTGGGGCCAAGGGGAAGGGCCCAGAGAGGACCTGCCGACTCGTCTCCAGAAACAGTCCCAGCCCTCCGGCCTGGGAGGTCTGGGGGAGCACAAGGGTCTGTCCCTGGGCCCAGCCCCATGAAGTCCTGGGCTGACGGGCCCGCTGCACGTCACAGAAGAAGCAAGTTCGCGTCCCTGCGCTGTGGCACGAGCATCAGGTGCAATTAAATGTTTGTTTACAAACCATAAAGTTTGTTACAGACAAGGCGAGAGCAGAGAAACGGAAATAATCAAAACGAAAAGTGAAGACAAGGAAGCAAGAAGCCAGTGGCAAACCGAGACACTGGGCTCGAAACCTGACTTTGCCCAGAGATCTCAAGGCCCTGTGTCCAGGTAACACGGGTGTCCTTGGACTTACAGCGTTTTCAGGCTGTAGAGACCGGCGAACGCTTGTCCCGGGATGTGTGAGAGGTGGTTCCCAGAGAGACGCCTGCAAATCAGAGGAAAGGGCAGCGTGTCGGCAGGGAGCCAAGGTGGGTGACCTCCCTTGGCCAGCGTCGCGGGGTGTTCCTAGAATGCCCAACTTTCAGACAAGGAAACCGAGGCTCGGAGAGGCCAGCTCACTCTCCACTAGGCTCACAGGGCGTGGTGTCCTCGCCAGCTGTGATCAACCTCCAGGCCCACGTCCGCTTCAGTGCTGGCCTGCTCACCACAGCCGCCCTCACCCCCGAGCTGCGCTGCATCGGCTCACGAGACAGACGGACGTGCCTACGTCTCCCCACGCCCCACACTTCACAGCCAGGCCCACCAACCCGGGAGGGCAGGATATGGGGCGTTGGTCCAATGAGGCATTTCCACGTTTGTCGTGGGGTGGCCACCAGCTGTGACAGGAGCGAGTGCCGTGGAATGTGCTAGGTGCGCTAAAGCCTGGCTGGGCAGAGCACCGGGACGGGCTGGAAGGCCCTGCCAGACCTCCCGACCACATTGTTACACATGTCCATTCTTACCAAGACGCTTGCAGATGTAGAAACTGTGCTGACGCAGCTTAGAAGCTATTTTTTAAAAAATGTATCTCTACTAAGAGTCTCTTTATTTGACATTTATTATTTTAAAAAAACACGTGGAAAGGCATCATATGTGGGGTCTCCAAGCTTGGGTTCTGCATGTGGGCATTTTGCCTCTAAAATGGCCCCACCCCCTCTCTGGGAGTAGGGGATGGAGGACCAGCTTCCGGGTCGCAGGTGTGCCCGTGGGTCACCCGCCCAGCTCCCCCGCCTCTTCCTGCTTTCCTCTCCCACCCAAGCTGGGCCCCTCCACCTTGAGAGCCCTTGCTGCCCCTCACTCTGTCCCTTGCTTTGAGTCCTGGCTTCAATTTCCTCCCCAGGAAGGCTTCCCTAGCCCACCCACCCTGCCCCTGCCTGACCTGAGAGCCGGAGAGCCGGGGCCCATGCCAAGTGCCCACCCATCCTGCTCGGGGCTGCAGCCGGCAGGGGACAGGGGGCTTTGTTTTTATTTCCCCTGAAGCACCTTGAGCTCCCCTTTCACACGGGAAGGGGAGTGGAGACTGAGTACTTGGTCTGGAAAGAAGCTCAGCCGTGGCCATGGGGTGACGGGCAGGCTATGTGCACTCTTAGAGGGCACTGTCTTGGGCCAGGATGGGGAGACCTGCTAGGGAGGAGGGGGTCGGGGTGGAGGTGGAGCATGGAGTGTGTTTGGGGCCAGAAGCCCACGGTTTGAGAGTTCAAGCAGAGCCCGGTAGAGCCCTAGGGATCCAGGGTGGTGCCCAAAAAGAGCCAGCAGGCTAGGGGGGCCGGGAATTGGCAAGGATGAGAGTGGTTGGGAGCAACATGGCCTGGCTGCCCAGAGCAGGCGGGCGGGCACTCTGGCTGAGAAGCTGGCTTGCTTACGGGCACCACTAGGGCATGAGGCCATCCTGCAGGGTGACCGCCGTGCGGAGGATTAACCAGGGAGGACTTTGTGGAGGAAGTGGGCCTCGCGTTGGCCCTGATCGAGTGGAGAACAAGCTGGTGGGCCTGCGGGCTGGAGGGGAACATACTCAAATGCAGGAGGGAAGCAGGGATGTGAGCAGGACCAGCCTCATTGGAGCAAAGCTGGCCAGGTGGGCTTGGGCCCACGACAGAGCGTCTTCAAAGTGGGTCCTTTGGGCCACCGGGAGCCAGAGGAGGCACCTGACCTGGGAAGATGCACTCTGAAGATGGGCAGAGTGCACCAGAAATGAGGTGGGCGATCTGCCTGTTAGAGGCTGGTGCAGCCCCACAGGTGAGGGGACGTCCAGGGACACAGCTTAGGGGATGTCCAGTCGGCGGCAGTGGGAACAGGACCGAGGGACACTTCAGGGAAACACCTCCGGGCCTGGGGAGCAGGTCGGGGACAACCCCTGGAGAGGAGCAGAACAGACGGAAAGGAGGAAGGCTGCAGAGGGGTGGTCGGGGGAGGAGCGGAAGCTGGATTTCCGAGCTCCTGCACCATGCAGCCCCCACTGCCACCCTCGGTCCCACACCTGGGCCAGGTAGACCAGGCCCTGCTCCCCAGGACAGCTTCCCAAGGCCCTTCCTGCTGAGTCTGCCCCTCCTGGGGAGCCAGGGCCTAGGTGTCAGAGGTCACAGCACCTCCAGCCCCAGCGGAGGCTCTACTCACAGTTCCTCCAGGAAGCGCAGGTGGTGGAAGAGGCCGGGCTGCAGCTCCGTGAGGTTGTTCATGCTCAGGTCTCTGCAGGGAGGAGACAGAGCGGGTGGGCTGTGGGCTGCCTGACCCGCCCCGGCCCCGCCTGTGGACACTGCGGGGCCCCGTGCCATCCGCACGCAGAGCCGGGCAGCGCCCTCCTGGGTCCCTGGGCCAGGGCCCTCCCTCCTCCCTCAGTGGACTGATTCTGATGGGGGCGTGGGGAAGCTGACTGCCCCCTACCCTGGCCCGGTTTGGGCTAGAGAAAAATTCACAGGCCTCTAGAGCAGGAGGGACCACTTAGCACACAAGACGTCTGTGTGCTTCCTCCCGGGGGAAAGTACCAGACACTAGCCCGCATGTGTGATCAATCCAGGACAGGCCCTGGGGTCACCCTTTTACTCCATCCCAGAGCCAGTGGATGTCACCACCCTCTGAGGCCTCCACAGTCTGTCTCCCGTTGTCTCCCGTTGTCTCCCCGCTGCCCCCAGGACCCTTCTCCAACCAGAGTCTGGCCCCTGGGCACGTCACAGAGAACGCCGGATTCCCGAGTGGCAGGATGAAGACATGCCCCCTCCATGGGCTCCCACCTTAGACCACTCCAGCCCGCCCACGTCCTCTGAGGGACCCTGTGGGCATTTCAGTGCCACTGCCCCTGAAGACCCCCTGCACACACAGGGTCCCAAGAGTAAGAGCTGGCATTTCCTGGAGGCCCCTCCGCCAGGTCCGGGCTAACCTTTATCCAAATAATCCCATTGAATTCCCACAACAGCCCCAAGGTAGAGTCCACCGTTACTCCATTTACACTCAAGAAAACAAAGAGGAATGGGCACTGAGCACTGAGGTCAACTGTCTCCTCCATTTACCCTTCAGACCTCGAGCTCTCAATCACCGTGACCTTCAGTTTCCTCATCCCTAAAAGTGGGTGAACACCCCAAACTCCCAGAGTCCTCATGAGGAGGCAGTGAGCCAGTGCCTGCAGACCAGCCAGCAGGCTGGGGAGGGAGAAGAGCGCTGCCCTGGTCTGTGGTCCTGCCCTTTCCTCAGTAGGGCGAGCAGATGCATGTGTGTCCCGCACATTTGGGATCCATCCTGTTTTTGAAGCCCTCGCCAGCCCTGCCCCAGAACAGACACCCACTGCTGGGTCCCACCCCTAGGCCTCCGGCAGCCCCTCCCGCCAGGGACGCACTTGAGCTGTCAGACCTCAACATCTCCATGTTCCTCAAGAAACACACTTGCTGACGAGTGTGCTAGAGGTGGTAGGGAGCCCAGCTCCAACCTATACAAAGCCTGCTTAGTCTCCAGTGTTTTATCCCCCATGTGCTTGGCCTCGGGGCACCACGTCCTCTAAGGTGGAAGACGTCTGAGCGCGCAGGAAGAGCTGGGAGCCCGCTGGTTCCCGTCCACACTCCCTCCCCACTTCCCGCGAAGAAAGAGGCCCTGGGCCTGCCCTTCCAGGAGGAAGGCTGAGTGAGGTGTGGCAGGGGTGCTGGTGGCCATGGAGGACACAGGACGCTGGATGGAGGCAGGGAGGATGGAGAGGCCCGCAGAAGCCCAGGCCGCCGCCTCTGCTGAGTCCGGGCCTGGCTCATTGCCAGCCAGGCGGGAAGGCGTGAGGTGCCACAGGAGCGATTACCTCCCAACATGCGCCCTTGCATTTCTGGACGTGTCTCCACAGGCGCGGGCGCAGGAGTTCAAGGAGCACGCGGGGCGTGTGACTCAGGCCTCATCACTCAGCCGTTCCCCCAGGGGCCGCAGCGCAGAGGCTCTGATGTGGCTCCAGCATCCCCAGCCCCACCACCGATGAGCGGCCTCATTGTTCTCCCCAGGGAGGAGGGGGCCTGCCCCAGCCCGCCCCCACATCCTGCCCAAGACAGCACCGGGCCAGCTGCGGTGCCCAGGGGAGGGGTGGGGAGCCCCCTCCAAACCCAGGCCTCCACAGAAGGAAAGGGGCGGGGCTGGTGCCAAGGAAAGGGGGCAGGGGAACACTTGGAGCAGGAGAGGGGGTCCAGTGAGAGCCCTGAGCTGAGGTCCTCCCGCTGAGCTGCAGGCCTGGGGGCAGCAGAAGACCCTGGGGTGGGGGGGCACCGGGCAGCCTCAGGGGGCATGCAGCGCCCGGGACGCTGACCACAGGGGTCCTGGGAAGTTGGTGATTCTGAGCTAGGACGTTCTCCGGGCAAACGAGGGAGCCTGGCTCAGACTTGGCCGCCTGAACCAGGGCAGTCAGGGGCCCGGCGTCCGGCTGTGTGAGCTTGTACGTACTGACAAGGCATGCGAGCTCTTGGACACGCTTGTCTCGTGGGGTGCTGGGCACACGTGTCATGTGAGGGCACACGTGTGTGTTCGTCCATATGTGTGTAGAGTGCTGTGCTCTTAAAACTCACAACGTTCTCAAAGCACCCACGTGTTATAAAGACAGAGACTCTGGGAGAAGCGCATCCAAATCTCACCCCCTCCTCTGGCTCCTTTGTGACCTTGGCAACCCAGCTCCATCTCTGGGCCTTGGGCCTCCCCTCTGGTCTGTCTCCCCAGGACAGGGCACAGTTGGCTCAGAGGTGGTGTTTTGGGGCCTGACTGGTGGCTGAACTGGACATGGATACCTGAACTCAAGCTCTGCTCTGCCACTGTCTCCCTGTGGGCACCACACACGCACAGGCACACACACGTGCACGCACAACCGCTCCCCAGGACGGGCCTCGTGGGCAGCCGGCCTGTGCAGGACACAGAGCCCCCCACACACAAGGGCCTGGCCTGGTTTAGGTCTTAACACTTTCTGAACAAGAGGCACCATGTTTCCTTTTGCACTGGGCACCTCAAACTGCTCCTCCCAACTGACCCGCAAGGGTGGGTTGCAGCCCATCCTGAAGGGCATCAGGGCTCTGTGTGCTCGGCTGGACACAGCCGTGGGGGGACTGGACAGGGTCACTGAGCGGGGCTGCGGGCGGGGCAACCGGACCCCCAAGGAAGCAGGGTGAGGGGCGTCACCACTGAGACGAGGAACAGTTTGAGAAGAGGGAAGACGCTGGGAGCTGGAGGCAGAGGGCGCACAAGACCTGAAGCTGGCCGGGTGGGGGTAGCGGGAGCCCTCCCCTCCCTTGGGCTGACACTCAGGGGCCCTGGGGGTTTGTTGTTTGTGTTTTCCCTGCAGGAGAAACAGTGGATGGCAAAGCCCCCCGGGTCCTGCGGGAGGGCCTGGGAGGAGGTCCCCACCGGCGGGACAAGAGGCTAGGAAGCAGCCCCACCCCTGCAGCCAAGTAAAGGGTGGCCAGGGAGACTGGGAAGGGAGCCCCGTCCCCGGTGTGGCTCTGCCCCCAGGTCACCTCCTCTGGGAGGCCTTCCCAGTCCCCCCACCCCGGCAGCGCTGGGCAGCGCCCTGGGGGCTTACACGGCTGTGTTCGCGCTCCCGCAGGGGCTTCAGCACGACGCTCACGGCCCACCACGTGCCCGGTGCCGCCCTGCCTCAGCCCCCGGCGCAGCGCTGGGCAGCAGCGTGAGGCCGGCCAGGCCACGTGACGTCTCCCAGCCTCTGTCTGCCCCTCTGTGAAACAGGGATGATGGTCCTTGCCTCACGAGGGTTGGAGCAAGGACTGCGCGAGTCAATGTATCATACGAGTTAGTGAAACACCTACAGGCCCCCCTCACTCAACATGCCTCCTGGTCAGCGCCGTCCTCATCTAAGTGAATCATGACGAACTATGGAGACTTGCACGGAGTGACCCTCGTCACGTGGGCTCCCCCGCATGCGAGGGCTTGGTCTCAGTCTCCTCTGCGCCCTCCAGTCCTGGGGGCCACGTGGCACCTGGGGGTGCACTGACCACAGGTGAATGATCACAGCTCGCCCGGCTTCTGCGGACAGCCCTCACCAGGGCGCCGGGTTTGAATCTGATTTGAACTTCCCCCGCTGCTTCGGGGCTCCTCCACGGTGCTTAGTTCCAAGGTGGCGCACAACTGATGGGAGCCGTTGTTAAACGCTCACTCTTCTCTTGACCCAACGGCCTTGAGAGGGTGGACGCGGAGCCCTGCCCTGAGGTCCCTCCAGCGTCCACAGTGAGCCGGCTTCTCCTAGGCCTCGTCCTCCGGTCAGGGCCTGTGGTTTAACAACCTGCACAGGCCAAGCCGGGCTGGGCACGTCTCCTGCTGTGTTGGGGGACAGCGTGGGGGTGGGCAGGGAGCAGGCCAGGCCCACCCAGAAAGAGTCCAGCAGGGCCCCCAGGCCAGCTGCCACTCACAAGATGCTCACGGACCTCCTCTGTCAACAAGAGGCAGGTGACAGGACAGAAAGACCATGGAATTTGGGGTCACGGCCCCTTTGAGCCCCACAGATCACTAGGGTCTTTCCTGCCTTACAGCTGTGGGCTCAGGGTGCCGGGAGTGGGGGTCGGGGACAGCCTGGGGCTGGCTCTGGGCCTCGAGCCCACGGTGCTGTGGGGAGGTAGCCACGACGCCCCACACTCGTGCTCTGCTCTGTGGTCTACAGAATGCTCCTGCAGCCACCCTCCTGTCTGGTTCTAAACTCTGTGTCTGGACTCAGAAGGCGGGGTCGACAGGGATGGCTTCCTGGGGCAGAAACGAGGGATTCGGAGTGGGAGGGGCCACAGGGGTGGGAGGAGGGCGTGAAGGAGGAGGTATGGGGGATGGTAAGAGAGATGCGGGGGGTGGGGCTGGCACCTGCACTCGGGGTCACTGAGGGGTCCCCATGGTTATTTGGCCAAGATGAGGCTCGCACAGGTCAGACGAAACTGGGGAGAGAGCAGTCCTTGGGTGACCCAGTCAGTCAGGTGGGGCAGGAGGGACGAAGGCAAGAGAAGGAGCCGCTCCTAGAAGCCTGGAAGTCAGGTGAGAGGGGCTTTCTAGCCCTGGGTTCACACCCCGGAGCCAGGCAGTGTCGCTCACAGGATCACGATATTTTGTCACGGCTTGTGGGGCTCCTCAAACTGACGGCAGAGAAAGGAGTCCAAGGGTGGAAGAGGCCAGGAGAGGCACCCCACCTCTCCGAGTTGGCACCTGGCCACTGCCTCGTGTGACTGTTTAATTTCCACTCATCAAAGTCAAGTCAAATCAAAAGTTGGGCTCCTCAGCTACACGGGCCTCGCTTCCAGGCTCAGCGGCCGCAAACTGGACAGTTTGGACAGAGGGTGTGTCCCTGGTGTCTGTCGGTGGCCCCAGGACAGCCCCTGCAGTCAGCCCGGCCTGCATCCCACTCCCAGATCTGTGCTTGCTGGCTGTGTGACTTTGGGCAAGTGACTTGACCTCTCTCCGCCGTGGTCTCCTCGCTGGTAAAGCGCTCTCTGGGGCCTGGCATGCAGTAGACAGCCAGCACTGCCCCAGTGCTGCCGCCACCGCGGCCCAGCTGAAGTGCCTCCTCCTGCAGGAAGCCTCCAACCTTGAGCGCTCACATAACTACCCAGCCGTGTGTTGTTCAATCAGCATTTATTAAGCACCTACCGTACACCAGGCCGTGTGCAAGGTGATGACGCTGCCAAGTTCAACAATGCAGGATCCCTGCCCTCAAAGAGCCAGCAGGTGAGACAGCGACGAGAGCGGACAGTGACCAGTCACAGGGCCTCAGGCTAACCTCCGGTTTCTGTGGGCTCGCTCACCAGCCAGGCTGCCCACCCCGCCCACCCCTGCAAACTGTCCTCGCCTTCTGGGGCTGGTCTCCCCACCCACACAGACAGGCACTGTCCGTGTCACACAGGCATCAGCGTCGGGGGCCCTTTTCTCTGCAGCACGGAAGGGTGGGGCGTGTCCCACAGGGAGCCCTGGCCAGGACTGACCTGGAGCTGGAGGGTCCAGAACAGACTCCTGGAGGACTCGCCTCTCCACCTGCCAAGCTCAGTGTCCTTGACTCACCAGCATCGCTTCCATCCCCTGCTCTGATCTCAACTCCATGCGTGTGGATGTGCCTGGGCGGAATTCTGTCCTCCCCCTGGACCCAGAGCCCTTAGAGGGGAGGGCTGTGACGTCCCATTAGATCAGAGCTCCCGAGGGAGGGACGGTGGTCCCCCCAGGCTCCCAGGAGATGGGCCAGGTGAGGCTGGGCCGAAGTCATGGGTGGGAGGGCCTGGGTAGCCCTGGAGTGGGAGGGGAGTGCACTTTGTGTGCAGAGCAGACCACACAGCCCCAGCCCTGTTTGTTTAGCTGAAGCTCTGGTCCTGGGCCTTTATCCCACCAGATAAAGAGGCAGGGTGTGTCTGGAGGGAAACAGGAGGAGGCCCTCTATTCAGAGGCCCCCACCCCACGTCCCAGCTGGAAGCCTTCCTCTCACATCCAGACCCCTCATCCCCTGTCCCCTTCCCATCCCAGCACCTCAGCATCCAGCTGAACTGTGCCCACCTAGCCAGATGGTTTTCTGGCTTCTCAACTTGAATCTAGTGGGAAGAGCAGAAGCTGGAGGTTCGGAGCATCTGGGAGGAGCCGCCTTTGCTGGGACAGACCTGTCGCAGACGCAGACTCCGCAGAAGGAAGGTCCCATCCCAGACCCGCCTCTCCCGCCCCTCCCCATGTGAAGGCCTTCTGCATCTCTGTCTCCTTCATCAGGCCAGGAGGGAAGCATTCTTTGTTCCCTTTTAAATGAAGAAAGGGAGACTCTTTGCATCTAGTCACACAGTTAAACAAGTGGCAGAGCCAAACCACGCGCTTGGCTCTGCTGAGCCCAGCTGCACACGGAACCCAGGAATGAAAGGTGGAGAGGTGGGAAGTGGGGGTGGGCAGATCTGGGAACAACAGAGGGAACCAGAGGGGAGGGAGGGAGAGGGAAGGCAAGGGTTGGGGGAGGGCGAGGGACGGAGGGCCCCCACCCCTCCTGGCCTCAGCCTTGGCCTCAGGGTCCCGCTCGCTCCCTGGGCTTCGAGGACCAGTGGAACTTTCCGGAGCCCGGCCCCCTTCCTCCAGCTTCACCTGGGTGAGCCAGGCCCTGCCCTCTCCACCCAGGAGGTCCTGCCCACCCACAGAGCCTCACCTGTCCTTCTTCCCAGCATCATCCGGCCCCTGAGGCCCCACTGCCTGGTCCCGGGGTGGTTCCTGCCATGCTCTGTGCTGACCCTCACCTGTCCACCCGTCCCACCACCTTCGTCCCTCCCCGGGGCAGGAGCTCCAACAGCCTGCCCTCCTCCCCAGGCCCTGCCTGTTTGGTTCGGGGACGTACAAAAAGACTAGACCCAAGACCTCAATCTAGCGCCCCTTTCCAGCGACGTCCTTCCTGACGCCCGCCTGGCCCCCTCGTGCTGCAGCTGGGCTGGGCTGAGTTCAGACGGAGCCTTTCCCGCTGGCTGGGGAGTTCTCTGTGGGCGCTGGGGCCAGTCTGCTTGGGTCTGTCTCTCGCCCAACTGCCTCCCAGCTGTTTGAGGAATTGGGGGGCGGGGCGGTTAGCTATGCCCAGTGGTGTGTGGCGTCCCTCCCTCACCTGAGCTCACCCCAGAGCCTTCCCCCTGGGGAAGCAGCTCTGCAAGGTTGCAACAGAAAGGGGTGGGGTGGGGGAGGGTGTCCTGGGTCAGCCTTAGGAGGCGCCAGCTGCTGCTTCTCTGCGGCCTCCAAAGGACTGCCACCTGCCTCAGCCCTGGTCTCTCATCTTTGATCCTCTGATCTCTGGCCAGGGTCCCCCTGCCAAAGACATTCCTGTCTCCCTGGCCTCCTCCAAGGAAAGGCAAAGGGCTGGGTGCCCTCCCCGCCCAGGCTCCTCCCTCCTCCCTGTGCTGTTCCGCCTGGAAGCCCCAGAGGCCCTGGGACAGGGACTTGGCTGGGTCCCCCTGAGGTGGTGGGGTCTTGAGGGACAGGGCACAAAGGCAGGGCTGGCCACTGGGCCACCACTGGGCAGATGCCCTGGCCGGACACTGCTGGGCAGGTGCCTTCAGCTCAGTTCCCTGTTCCTGGAGCCCACGTGTGCCGAGCCTTGCTGAGGTTCCTGTGCCGAGTGCACACAGGAAAAGGGAGGGGAGGGAGCACACCTGCCCTCAGGAAGCAACAGCCTGAGGAGGCATTCAGAGCCACAGGCACAGCTGGACAGGGCCTGGAATGTTAGTGCTGGAGGAGTCCCAAGTGCCTGAGGACCAGGACACAGTCTGGGAGGGCTTCCTGGAGGAAGGCCAAGAGGGGCAGGGTCAGCCCTGAGAAAATGGCCTGACCTGAGTGAGGGCTTTGCCGGGAATGGGGGGCCTGAGCAGGGGTGCTGAGGATAGCAGGGAGGGGTGGTGCAGCGGGCACCCTGGTGGGCTTCTGAGTGAGAACTTGCTTGGGAAAGGGTCTTTGCAGGTGTAATGAAGTGAAAGATCTTGAAATGGAGAGAGCCTCTCAGACTGCGTGGGTGGCCCTGAACCCGATGACAAGCGCCCTTAGAAGAGACACGCACAGAGGAGGGGGTGACGTGGAGACAGGCAGTGACGCGGACACAAGCCCTGGGAGCTGGCAGCAGCAGGAGTTAGGGAGGCGGCGTGGATTCCCAGAGCTCCAGGGAGCGGGGCCCCGCTGACACCCGGACTCTGGGCTTCCGGCCTCCAGATGGGAGAGAATCCATCTCTGCTGTTTTAAACGCCGTCTGTGGAGCTCTGTGACAGGAGGGACCGGAAGTGTACAGTGAGGGTCAGAAGGCTGCGGGCACCCTGCCCTCTCCCCGTGCTCGCCTCCCTCTCTCGCTGGGGTTCCTCCTGCCGCCTGAGACCCCAGCCTCCCACACCTCACTGGGGAACCCGAGAGTTCTCCCCAGAGTCCTCTCGGGTCGGCTGGGACCCAGCACTTCCACTCCGGACACCAGGCCAGCAGAAAGCCCTTCAGGTGCTCACCGAGCACTCATGGTGGCCCTGTCCATGAGACCCCAAACTGGAGGGCCCACCTGTGTGCCCCGGGCAGCATGGACCGACAAACCCAGTGTGGGGTGAGGGAGCCAGAGGCCAAACAGCGCTCGGTCCACATCCACGCACAGCGCGGGCCCGGGTGGGGGCGGGGAGCGGCGGGGACACTGCTGATGTTCTGTGTCCGGTGCTGGTTACACAGGGGTACTCCGCTGTGAGGGTTTTTTAAGTCCATTTTCCTTTCTTTCTTTTTCCTTTTTTGTGGAGGGAGGTGATTAGGTTCGTTTGTCTAAGAATTATTTAAGGGAGGCACGGGGGGTTGAACCCAGACCTCATGCCTGCTAAGCAGGCGCTCTCCTGCTGAGCCCTCCCGCCCCCACCAGGCTGTGAAGCTTTATCTGGCCACACGCTTGCCACAGGTAGTAGTCTCCTGTGTGATGTGCAGTGCACTTAAATAAAAAGTTAGTTTAAAAAATGAGAGAGAGAGGGACTCACTCTGAAATTCTTTTGTGAACCTGCTGCCACCTAAGGTCTCCACCTGGAGTCCCACGACATCCTGGGGACATGTCCCAGCCTTTACCTTGGGGGCCTGAAGTTGGACGTGTATTTCCATGTGTCATGCCACCAACCTCACCCGCATCTCCCTTGCAGGCCCTGGCACCCAGTAGGCGCTCAACAAACGCTTGCTGGGACCAGCTGCAGGGCCAAGGGCTTTGCTGTTTTCAGCCTGCCCCCAGAGGTCCCAGCCGTGGGTCCCAGGGTTCCGAGGCAGGACACTGACCACGGCTGTCTCTTCCCCCATAGCCCCCCACCCGGCTGCGCCTGTCTCCACCCCAGCACATACAGGGCAGTGAGCCCCCAGCACAGATGGTGGGTCTGACTCGTCTGGGACCTTCAGACCCGGACACACAGAGCAGACTCAAGGACCAGCAGCCTCGGGTCCCTGGGGCCCCCTCTCCTCCCAAGCCTGGCATATCTTTGTCTTAGCTTGTTGGAAACTGGATGGAACTTTTCGAAAGTTTTCTTTAAAAAAAATAGTAAAGAGGATGAATAGGAAAGGCAAAAACTTCTAAGGGGACAGATTCATAGATGTCTCACCCTCACGAAAGTCAAGCCCAGCCCCGGGCGGGCCGACTGGCAGCTTACGAGGCTCCCCCATCGGCTTCGCCCTCACCGCAGCCATCTGGGTCGCACGCCACACCGAGCCCGCAGCGGAGCCAGGCCAGCACTGCCCACCAGGACCTCTCACAGGTGAGCGCAGCCGCTCCTGCTGCTGACACCGCGCCATCTTTTCCTTGCTTTCGTCACTCATCCCGGCGGTAGTTCTGAGCACCCACGTGCAAGGGGCTTGGGCAGCACTGAGACGCCAGCCCTGCTTTCCTGGGGCTCCCAGCCCAGAGCGGAGACAGAAGGGTGGACAGGAGGTAGAAGCCAGGGAGGGAGTCCTGGGCGGAGCCGGCATGCGGAGGGCAGCCCTCTTGCAGGGCTGAGGGCTGAGAGCTGAGGGCAGTTCCTCGGGGAGACGGACATCTCAGTCAGCCCCTCGTACCCTAAGTCAAGCTGATGCTTCCCCGACATCCTCCAAGACCGCTCCCCAGAGCTGCAGGCTTCCTGCCCGAACCCATTTCCCAACAACAGCCCTGCAGTAAATCACGGTGATGTCCACAGGCCGACAGCTAAGTACAAATTAGGTAAACGCCACTGGGGGCGAGGTGGGCGCCAGGCAGTGGCTGGCCGGCTGACGGTCTGATTTATCCCAAGGACAAGCTGTAGGGAGGGGCTTGGCATACTTTAAAATGCAGACTTGGACCCAGTAGGTCTGGGGTGGTGTCGGAGCTTCTGCACCCAAACAGGGTCGCAGACAGGGCGGATACTGCTTGTCTGGGACCGTGCGCTGAGCTAGGGGCTCCGGGACTTCCAGGGGACCCGAGACTGAGTCTCCTGAGAGCCCCTCAGGAGTGCATTTTCCATCACTCTTTGCCAAGTTT